TCGGTATCAATCCTACTCTTCTCAGAGATCTATCGTGCCAACCGCCTTTAAAGGAAAATAGGAGTGTTGAGTTTAATATAGTATAGTGAAAGGTATGTAGCGTTGTGATGTACTTGATAAACTCTTTAGCCACACATTGCTGTTAACTATTATATGGTGGTCAATATAAGGAGATTTAAATCAAGGACCACACTTGAAAAATAATATCGTACTCGGATATAAGCTGTGCAGCGGATTTTCTCATGTGATCTTGTCTATCTGCTTTATTTAGTTGTTGTCACTTCCTTCCATACACAACAGTGTTCGCGTCCCATCCCCCATGACCGGAATTCGTAGTGCCAGTCACAGTAGCGTCTCAGTGTTGTAGTGATCGCCGTTACAAATGTAGTGAATCTCAGTTCTAGCCCCTTTTATCAGTCCTGTCAGTTTCTACCCAATAGTGCTCTCGTCCAGTTCGTTATACTTTTTCTTGGAACGAAGGATTCGAAATTACGACACTATGGATTCCGCTACACGAAGACAGACGCACATGCACACACGCATTGGGCAAGAAGATCTTTTACAGATCGACAATCTGGTATCCGTACCGATTGATCGACCGAAGGAATGAGAGATAGTCGGCCTGCGGATGAATCGACCATAGATTTGCTCTTCAAACTACATGTTGTATCACTTCCCACTTCCTATCTTAGTCCTTATTCCGCTTTGATTAATACAAGTCGGATCACCCGGCTGCCGCCGGGTGCTCCTCCTTCTGTTTCACGGCCCGGCTTCGCCGGGCCGACCTGGCTTCGCCAGGCACTCCCTCGGGCGTGGTAGAATGCGCTAAATGTGCCAAACGGTGGCAGTTATTTTTTTAATAAAATGTAGGAAAATGAGTTGAAAAAGCCGAACATCAGTCATCAGGGCACATCGTTGTTGGGGAATCCCCAATGGGGGGGGGGTCGTATTTGGGCTGAGAAAAATTTATTTTGATAGTTGATTTTTCTCGCTTCATGGACGTTGTAAGGGGGGTCGTATTTGATCATTTTTGGGAGGGGGGTCGGGTCGTACGTCGTACAACTCCCAAAAAAAGGGGGGTCGTATAGAGTCGACTAAAGTCCCCAACCAATGATGTGCCTTGTCAGTCATTATCTACCAACATATGGTCCCTCTTGCTTACTACAGACTTTCAACCGTGAGAAGGCTGAGCCATATCATCAAGGATGGCAGTTGTGACATCAGAATGGGTAAAGTTGAATTAGTCCGGATGAGTCCTTAACACCCGGAAGAGGCATAACTGCAGGATCTTGGGTGGCACTGAGAAGGAGAACTTCACATTGCCTTGTACATGTCAAAGTACGTGTCGCACGGAGAGCTCGAATGTTACCACCGATACGTCCCCACTCCCAATTGTTGGGTTCCCTCCTTATTTTGCTTCAATTGCGACCATCACCACCTAACACATCATTGCACATCATATAACAGGCACATTTCCGAAAAATTTTTGATCATGATTTTCCCGATTTTCCCGTTTCGGTCCGTATTAGATCCCCACCTCTCGACATTTCACGCATCTAATCGCAGACACCTCAATGGACGACCTTAATCCCTTATATCGAACATCGAAGGAAAGAGTTAACACACTGAGCCTCTAATACTCGACATTCAAAGCGGTAAGAAGTGATAAAAATGTAGTGCAGATGGTATCTTATCCATTCCTATCGAATGATATGATTACCTCACCCGTCATCAATGTCCTTATTTCTAAATCCTTGTAATTTGGTAGTGTAAAAGCTGCACCGCCTTGAAGAGCGACGACGACTGAACGTCTTTTATCAGCCCCTATCAGTAGTTATCGCTTCTAGTCACCCATCGCACCCCCTATATCACTCGCTGAAATGAACGCCTCGCTGATGCTGTCACCCGCGTTTGGTAACCTTCCCTTCTGAAGAGCTCCTTATCGAATCTTATCAGCAGCTCGCAGTTCTTGTCACCCAATAATGTTCTTGGCCCGTACCCTATATCATATCTTAGAATCAAGAGCTAGTTTATGCTGTCACCCGCGTTATGAATATCGCATCTTATCGGATCTTATCAACTGATATCACTTCCTGTCACCCACCAATAGTGTTCCCGTCACACCCCCTACATCACTTCTTGGAATCAATGTCTCACTGCTACTGGGACCGGCGCTATGAATTTCGTGACAAACAGACGGACGCACACACACACACAGACATACTTAGCGAATTATATAGTAGAAAATTTGTCTAACCAATGTACATTACACTCAGAAACTATTCTGATATCTTCACACCTGCACTAATGCTATAAAAAAAAAACTAAAAGTCAGTGATGAAAAAAGACGCCTTCCAGTTAGAAAGGAAAGAACCTCCAAAAGTAACGTTCGATGGAGACATAAAATACCTCTTCCATAATGAGCTTCGGAGAAGCTAGACGTATAGATATTCCTTTTTTCTTCAAGCCTTCGATAACTTCATTCCATGGAATCTTTTGACGGGATTTCGATCGGGACAAGGCTCGACCCTAAAATGATGTTTATCCATCAGGATCCTCTTGGGTCAAGGGACCTGTTCAACCTACCGCCCCATGACAAGTTGTACCATACGCTTCAACCATACCGCGTTCAGTTCCTGTGAGGACGTAGCTACAGGTCCCCATACTACCTCCAATAAGCACTGGCTGTCCTAAATACGAATTCTAAAGATTCAACTTGCGTGCACCGAGGTTATAAATACGAACCAGTCAACTGATAATCAATGGGAATCAAAGGATGATGTGGAGGGAACGCTCGAGTAGCTCCCTTACGATGAACGCAAAGTTGTGTTGGGCGACCGTCCACCAAATGTTCTTCCATCTTTGCCACATTATGAGACACGTCATAAATCATCTGAACATAGCTGATAAAAGTATTTTTCATCCCATATCATGAGGCTAAAGATTAACAGTGGTTGCAGCTTCTCACTTGCTCACTTCTTATCGATTGTGAGCATTCGAATAATGCTGCTTCCCATCCACATAATATTAGAGTATTGCAAGTAGAGTCTACACCCTAGTTCGCTGCGGACGGTTGGGCGTGTCAGGCAGTATGTGTCACCCTGTCAAAGCCATTCTCTGCCTTCTTGTTGAAACGCGCATGCGACAAAAGGTAGAAAACGAGTAATGCGAACGATATGATACAGTCATATCACTTGCTCGCTTTAGCAACTGAGGGAAAACGGGTTTGGCACCGCCCCAAACTCATCCCGCCTGACACGCCCAACCGCCCACAGCGAACTACACTATATGTATCAGAGCTGAAGAAACGGGTGTCCATCTAGGTTGCGGCGAATGTAGCGGAATAGGCGTCGCAAGTAGGGTGTCATCCTCAGCATCCGCACCAGGACCCAATCACTCAACGTGGTAGTTCTACGGGACTCTCTCTCTGCGTCGGTGTATCTCAAGTCGACCAGCTCTTTCTGTAGCTGTGTCTTTCCAGTCAACTAGCTGGAAAATACTCTGCTAATGTGCGCAATGCCGCTACTCGAAGAAACACTCCGTACCTAACGTGGTTATGAGTGGGGCAGCGGCAGAAAGTTACAGCTTCAAGAGAAGTAGACAGTATATACACAAGAGAGCGGGAGGTGAAAACGACATGGGATTCCTCTTTCTCTCTGCCTGTAGCAGCCACAGTAATCCACACTCCCCCCTCCCCCCCCTTCCCCCCTCCAACCCCCGAGTACACACTAGGTGCAAATGAAACCTAAGGCACAAACGACACATACTGGGTCCTCTCAAAGAAGCTAGTCGAGCAAATGGAGTTCGAACAGAGAATGAAGAGCCACTGTCAAGTTAAGCTGACAGAACAAAGACCGCAGATCTCCCGTGGGGTGCGCCACAAGCCAGCTTCTACTCAGCATCGCTTCCTCATTTGAATGCATATGTAGTCATAGCGACTCAGAGGGATCCATGTCGATCATGCATGATCACATCAAGGATGTCGACTTTTGAAAAAATGGAAGCTCGTTCGATCTGAAGGGGATATGGCAATACAATCGTAATTTGCTGCGCTGGTGGAAGTCGCGTGCGACTCTGCACCCACCACACAATGACCAATGTTTCAGTCGATGGCTGGGCCCGACAATATGCCAATCTATACACCAAAGACTAAGAATAACTGTACTATGTGGCACTCTAGAGTGAGCATAGTGCCTTCTATATGATAGGGCCAACTCGAGTACTGAGAAAAAACACCGCGCCATAGCTGCGCCGCGGACGCGGCAAAATTACGATTGTCTTGACCGCCTCCCCGAGGTGCTGCAGCTATGACACGAAGAGTATGTGCGTGTTGCAAAGCTACTCTGGCCCTTCCCCATGGTCCACAGCCATTATTTTAGACCATTTTGAAATACATATTTAATCGATTAAGTCAACCCACAAAATCTCCAGTTAGCTTGTCATATGAAAGCATGCTTCTCTGATACATTGCTAGATTTGCTCCTTCACTCAAACTGAATAGAGTACTCTCTTTTAACATCACCTGCATATCCAGGTCATCCGGCTGCATCGTAAAGACGTTGGCGAATGCTTGCCGTACACAAAATGTCATACATGATCGATTCACCCAGGCAAAATTCGCAGCAGCAGCCATTCCTTTCAAGTAATCTTGTCCTAGAATACACTACAGCTCACACTCCTTCCATTTCATAGAAGTATCAGCTTTAATTTGAGCACATTTTTAAACTGCTATTGATTGATAACTGCTGTTTAACGCCGCAATGCGCGATCCAAAAGTAACAGGCAACGCAACTGCCCGGTAAGCAGAAGATGCGGGTTCGAATCCCGTCCGTGGTCCGACTTTTGCCCACAACTCAGCATAACTTTGAGCACATTATCCCTCAGTAGCCCCAATTCCTTTTTAGACTTTACAGTGTACAATTCGTCAACAAAGGCTAAAATTGCGATTTTGTAGATGTGAAACTTCCCAAGAACTTCCTCACCTTCGTTGGAATGTATACGTGCGCAGGCCAGCTGGCGGTCATTAACAACAATACCGTCGCGTGACATTGCCTTCTCCATTTCTACCAGAGCATCAGTGGCGACTTGATGACCAAGGCCACGACTTCCACAATGCAGCATCACGACTACTTGACCTTCAATGCATTGATGTTGATATTCAGGCAGTGAAAAATGAAGGATAGGACTTAACCTAGCTCTCCAATTCCCATTTTGGCAGCAGCGTGCTTATCGAAAATTTCGTCTACCACTTGTACTTCCGCATAGTGATTTCCAGCACCCAGTGTGCCTAACTGCAATTGCGTAATGAAGAACATGTATAAAGGCATTTCGGAGCTGTTGTGCGACCGGGGGAGAAAGAATTTCGCTTCTTCCCACTGTCGAGCCATCGAGTAGAGATTCGTGAAATCTTGTAAAGCCATGGAGTAATACCAGTCAAAGTTTGTACTAACAGCTTGTCAGTTTCCGTGAAGAGTACTTGTCAACACCTATAGAGCAAAGAACGCGACAATGGGAAGCAGCAAGGCATGCCCCCGCACACCATGGTTGAACTGCGCCGGACATGTTGATAGGCGGACCTTTTTCAGTCGACTGTTTGATCTCTCCAGAAGCCAAAACTCGAGTGTTTTGTTTAGCATATTCTTTAAATGAGTAACGATTTGATAGAAAGAAATACGGTGAACGGGCGTTTGTAACATTACCTTACGAGCTTTTTCATATTTTTTTGTTTACTCAAACTCCTAATGAACGCAACTTTTCCTAAATACGAGGAAAAAGGTGGATGTCTCGACATACCTGAGGAAGGCCTCTTTTCTTTGCTCTGGTTGAAACCTTCGTAGCATCTGCTTGCAGCATTCGACCATACTCTTCACAGTGTTCTTTATCCTCAGCCCAAGAGTATCCTTCGCGCAATGTCCAGTCCATTCCCATTTCAAGGCAACTAAAAACGAGTCGGTCCCTCCTTTTCTAATTTCCAATGATTTGTGTATGATGTAGTTCTACACCCAAATATAAGACTCAAGAAGGTCCAACTCGAACAATGGTTATAGGAGTAACGACAGGAGCGTGGTATTGTAACAGCTCGACTGAACCCTTTTGAAAACCAAGAGCATCCTGGACAAACGGCCGCTAGCATCAGTAGTTAAAAGAATCACGAAGATTGCCAAGCTCAGAACGCTCATGGCAAAAGAAGTTTCAGCTCCAAAATCCCCCGCAAGTGACTAATGTCAAGGGCAAGAAGGGCCAGAACATTGGATTCCCGAGTTTCTCATATTATCAGAAGAGAGTTTGGAGACTATCATAATTTGCTGAATGTTTCGTAAAAGCGAGAAATTAGAAAAGAAATGACGAAAACGAGGACTGTCATCTATTAGTTGCGAAACTGCTACTCACTCAACGAGATCAGAAGCAGACATTGGAATTGCACCGCGTGAACCTACACCGACAGGAATGTAATCGAACAAGGCTTGAGTGAGCTGTTCCTAAAACGACGCTATACCTTAGTCAATGACCAAACGCTCGTATAAGCTGCACAAAAGTACGAACCTTCACAGGTTTCACATCCTCTTCGTAAAGATTAGTTCTTATCAAGCGAACACCGCAGTTTATATCGAAACCTACTCCTCCTATAAAAATCGACGATGGTCCAAGAACGACTTCAAATGTGTGAAATAAAAATTCGCTTGCTCTCGCTCTCCATGTATATCACCTCACCTGGGGAAATCACTGAATTCTTGTCAGAAACATCAAATGCCGCGATATTACCAATAGAAAATCCGTATCCTGAATGAATGTCAGGAAGCCCAATCGAGTGCCCAACAATTCCTGGTAGGGCAGCGACGTTGCCCAGCTGACGGACGGCCGGAAGAAACCCACCCACACCTAAAATGTGTGACATAACGAGCTCTGCAGCGATTACAACCGGGAGCCACCCTACTCTGAGAATTTTATCTTTCTACGCCTAAGATTTTCAAGCCATAAACCATCAAATATGCAGTTCTTTACACACCAGTTTTGTGGTTGAGTTACTTTTGCAGCTCCTTCTGAACAGAATTCAGGAGAAAATGGTAGGGGATGGGTAGGGAGGAGGAGGAGGAAGAGGGGAGTGGGGGTCGTAGGGGGTTGTGAAAAGAGTAGCTATTCGAAGGGGACTCGTACTGTGTAAAAAAATTCCGCAACGGCAGGACTTTCCCTGTGTAGAGTGGAGACAAGCACAATCTCACGCAGTCCAAGCAAGTCTTCCCTCCAGTGCCGCTTACTTGCTAGGAGAACAGAATGAAGATCCAAACAAGCTACCCCTGCACGAAATTTTATAGACTGCGAAAATACGCTTGAGGAAATAGTAATTTTGAGGAAATTCCACAGAATACCGTGAAGCAGAGATATGAAAAAATACGAGATCAATGTGGACAGAAAGAATAACAGAAAGTGAGATTGGCATCGTAAAAAATATTACTGAATACTCAACTCGTCCAATTGACAGTCGTAGTTCTTCGAACATAAGTGGCTCAAGGTTCTTGTTCACATAAAATCGACATTCTACCTAGAAATCCGAGATCCGTCAAAATTCAAGAACAGTCGTAACTCCCGTACAAGATCAAAAGAGTGAGTCAAAGAACTTACATTCATGTTGGGTACAAATCCTTTTTGAATGCATTCCGATACGCGTTCTATAAAGGCGCGTTCCTCATCGAAAAGTACGAGGCATGCTGGAACAGAGATTCCTTCACTCTCTGGAATTGGATCACTCCACGAATATGATTAAAGAGAACGGCTCAGCTCATATCGACGGGCTTTCGAAAAGCCACATGGCACGGGTTGCTATTTTTAGACGGCTAATCGCGCAGTCTGCCACTCTCCCTCGGCGCCAATATCTCCCATTGGGAGGATCGACGTCTTAGAAGAAGTTGCAAACGAAATCGACTACATGGGGCGTAATATGCCTGTGCTACGAGGTTATGTCGCGCACGGTTACAGTCGCTCAGCTCTCCTTCCCCTCCACAAAGCAAAGACATTGGGAGGAAAGCATTCAAAATATGCTCACTATTAGAAAAGTATCCTCGGTCCACAGATCACAGTTGTTCCTGCCGCCATCCAGCATATGCAATACACTTCAACACTGCCCATAGGCGTTTATTTTGTGGCAGGATACTACGAACATTTCTGGATATTACCTTGACCTAGCATTGGCTGTTTTTACCTAGAGGAGAGAGGGTGGCTACCTGCTCTTTGAGAAAAATATTTGCTTCTTTCTTACTTCTTCTTCTTCAGCGTTTGTACCGCCTCGTATTGCGGCGGTTCCGCTCTTTGATTACAAACTACGCCACGTTTCCCGATTGGCTGGCCTGATCGCCGGGTCGGCATGCCGGCTATGTTTCAAGTCGGTTATGCCAAGCTGTCGAGCCAGCGCTGTTTGGGACGCCCCTTTGGGCGCTTTCCTGGTACCTCGAGTTCGAGAGCAGTTTTACGGACGGTGTCAGCCTTCGCGCGAAGTACGTGCCCGTACCATCGAAGGCGCGTTTCACGCATTTTCTCCGCTATGGGGGCTACACCATACTTCTTGCGCACGACATCATTACAGATGCGGTCCGATCGCGTGACGCCCGCCGTCCAGCGCAACATCTTCATCTCCATCACACCAAGGCGAGCCTCAACTTCTTTGGTCGCGGGCCAGCACTCGGCACCATATAACGCGACAGGTCGGACGACAGTACGATAGATCTTTGACTTGAAACGCTCTGGCATTTTCTTGTCGCAAAGGATCCCAGACATGGATCGCCATTTAGACCATGCCGCACTCACTCGTGCGCTCACTTCCGAGTTCAGACTGCTATCGGACGCAAGTGCTGAAATAATTTCGCTCGTTGAATTCATTTTTTCTACTTCACCCCCCCCCTTCCCACCAGACGACAGTTCTTTGGGAGAGAACTGGAGAATTTTCGGAAAAAACTGTGGAAAAGTGGAAGAAAGTTCGGAAAACTGAGGAAGATACCAGGAAGGATGGAAGTCGGGAGGGGTCGTATCAGAGGAGAAAGTTTTGACGGGTGGTCGTATTTAGCAAAGCTTTTCACCAATGGCAGGACGTGTCCTGTTTTGTTCTACGACTGTAGTCGCGCACGGCATAATTTCGCGTAGCGGACATGCCGCACCGCCACGTGGCCCCTCTAAACTACGTACGTTAGCACTTAGGGGAATGTCATTTAGAGGGAGTCAAAGAAGAGGGACCCCGTTCTTTCAGATCTTTGATGCCTATGCTTTCTTGGTGACGCATTCTCCTGCTCTCTAATCGCACAGCACGAGCGCATACATACCGGGTGATAGCTCATACGGGCACCACCTTCAGCATCAGCGCGGTAACTTTTTGGAAAAGCAAGCTTATTATGTCAGACAAATATTAAATGCAAATGTCATGTGTTTGCAACCGAGTAAATTAAACCGCTACTGGGTTCTTAGGTATGATATTGCAGTTTCTCCTCGGGTAGAGGCAGCTCAATCGCTTTGAGCGCTACGAGGCGCAGTTCGGCTTGGTGGGAGCATTTTACTGGTTTCCATCGATAACTGATAAGTCTCTTCTGAATTCTTGTGAAGCTGCAATAGGATGAGCTTCCTTTACACTTGACAAAAGTCTACAAGTATTACCAAGGTGAGACGTGTAATTCAAAGGAACTAGCAAATACACTAGCCATAATGCGAAAAGCTCCTCCCCCAAGCCAAACAGCCCTCGAATGTAGAATTTAGGAAACAAACATCGGTTTTTTTCTGCTCGATTTGCAAGCAGTTTCCTCGTTGAGTGGATTGAGACCGTGATGCTTCCAAAAACCTTAGCTGCGGTGACACCACCCGCATTGGGGTGTCACCAAGCGTTCATAGGACCATGTGAAAAAATGTGGCGCCTAAGTACGATGCTGCTTGCACTTGCCAGGACTTGAAAATCCCCCTGAGAACTTGCTCCCAGAAGTCCCCCTCCGCAATGTTACTTCATTTACCTATTTCATATTGGATCGGTTTCAATAACTTCGAGTCAGCACCTGAGGAGCACCTTTTCGTGGAAAAGTAGCAGGGTGCGTTGCTCAATAGGCTACAAATCAAATAAACGGTCAAAACAACCACAATTCCATTATAAAAAGCTCAATACCTTCACAACTTTATTCGATCATATTTTGATAACAATAACCTTGTCGGTACAGACCTGTGTAACAAATGTACAAAAATTCATAATCAATGTGACAAATTTTCAAACATGAGAGTAAAGAAAAACATTGAAAGCGAGCATGAGAAGGACTAGGATATGTCAAATCGGTGGATGCAAGAGACCTTAACACGTGGTGGAAATCTCTAAACCGTCTCCGGTTTTCGCTATGTACAGGTGGGGCCTCTAGGCGACTAAAGCCGATGATAACTAAGTCAAGGTAGTAACGTAAATATGACTGGATGTGATCCCAAAAAATAAAACCGCAGCACAAGTGTCGAATTCCAGAAGTGCGTCACAATACATAGCGCAGTGCTGTTAGACAGCTCTGTTATTCATGAACAGACAAGACACAAATTATTATTGCCGCGCACATATATTTCTTTGTACATATCTCCGTGCTACAATTCAAACACGGCTATGCAACTGACATAATACCAGTAATGAGGCGGTGGATTTCTCAAGGCAGTGTGAGAATCAGAAACCGAATAAACAACCATAAAGTCATTAATGATAATTCCTACATGAAGTTAGTACAGGTTGTGCCGTGTGTATCTGTACTATAAATCATGCAGTATCACACTATATGACAATCACAATTCCGTAGTGATTCTCTGAGCTGGAGAGAAAAGAGGTTGTCCCGCTGAAATGCGACGGGAGGGGAGTAGGTGAGACGAGGACACCTTACGAATGACAGCTGGCGGTGCATCACTGACATGAAGACGGTTTTCGATGGGTTGTCGACATAACGGACAGTGATCCATCTGGACAGAACAACCATTGCAGATTCCACTGAAATCGAAAAAATCAATCATGAGACAGCATACATCTACTCAATGAGAAAAAGAATTTTTAACGCATAGTTGATTGAATTTTGGTGATCATTTTCAAAAATCCTAATTAGAGGGTCCGCCCTGCATTCAAGGATGATGAGTTGGGTGGCCCAAACAGAAATGACTGTAAGTGATTCGGCAGTAGAAAAAGGCAAGAGAAACCCGTCGGAAGCGCTCATTCAGGTTCCCATGTTCACTCGAGCTCGCAAATGCACAAAACTGACAGCGGGCGGAGTCGGACGAGTTTTGTTGGTGCCAGTGGGTGGGCGGGGCAGTAACTTCGTCGCGCCTCAAATGAACGCGCCGCGTGTCATTAGCATGTTCGAGAAGTGAGAAGGACTGCGAGGTACATTTTTCGCATCAAGCTGAAAGCATTCAACATGCTCGACTTTTGGTAAGTACTTCCTAAATATAGTGTGAGTCGCAGACAAATCCAAGTGTGTAAAGTTTCTGCGAAAGTCATCCAACGTTCGTCAGTATTTTGACTTTCCTCAACTCAGCCACTATGCATTATGGTGAGATTAAGAAATTCTCTATCAACAAGAAACGCCGCCAAACACTTACCCGTGCATGCAAGGTTCCAAAACAGTGTCGCCTGGATGAGCATAGCATATGGTGCAGTAATCTTCAGGTATGGGCTCCTTTTGTAGAAGTTCCAATCGTCTACGCCTAGAAATGTACATGAGTGAAAAAAATTTTGCGATTGATAGGGTGAAACTCCGTACCGAGGAAGGATAGTCTTCTGTTCCGCTGTGAGTGTTGCTCCACCGTCATTAAAAGTGCTAAAATACTAACCATGTTACAAAATGTATCAAAAAAATGGAAACAGGTAATGTCAACTGGGAAAGAATTCAAGTTGCGAAAACAACTCAAAAGTAACACTTGCTTAAAAAAATTGATGTATCTATCGTACCTGAACGTAAGATCAGGTGGATATTGGAACGGTTCTGCACCGAAATTAAAGCGACACTGTTGAAATGACATAAACGAGGCAGCAGCAAAAACTCCATCTCCGGCCGGTCGATTTCCTGATGACAAAAATTAATGAACGCTATTCAATCATCAGTCTCGTTATGAAACAATTAATATTTTCCAGTTCTCTTAAAAAACAGCAAATCAGACAAATTCTGTGTTAGAGACATACTGAGAAATTCAAGGTGAGGCCTTTGTAACGGTCGACCATTCAGATAAAACATTACGGTTCCCATCGGTATATTCAACAGACAGCCAACAACGTCTCCTGTACAAATATGTGAAGCATATGATATAGATGAACGTATGAAAGGCTTTGTACGGGTGGTCACTAGATGGCAATTTAGGGTATGAACATACCTGGGCACCATGGCTCATGTTCGTGTCGACTAGAGTGAGCATTATGCCATAATAATTGTCGACAACCATCGTAGGCTACAGATGATTCATCGTCGCCGATTCCGTAGCCCTCCTTTAAGATTCAACACATACACTCATTAGAAATCCACAATAGAGGTAACCAATAGAAGAACACGAAGCTTGTTGACTTTGTTAACAAACAGGCGTGAAATTCACCTTTTTTTAGATTGACACGCCTTCAGAAAAGATCATCCCTTAAACTCATAAAGGGAGAAGACCTTCAGACTGATACGCCATCTACTAATAACTTCTAGTACGATTGCTTCCCACACGTACAGAGACTGCGCTCGGGGTAATACGACGCTCCAGCCCCGTTGTAAGCGAACGGAGAATGTGGTACGGAACTGCAGCTGAGGCCCCATTCACCTCGAACATGGAAAGGACAGTCCGCTGAGATCAGTGTACAAGTTGTTTTAGAATGCCCCACGAGTATAGGCGCATAAGGAGGTAAGAGGAGTCATAGTTCCTAAAATGGTGCACCGCCGCAACGGCAGATTTCGAACTGAACCGCGTTCACGCACTGTAAAGGTAAATTGTGCCACTGAGGCAGTGCACCGCTTGGTGGTGAAGCGCCCCCTGTCAGAATCGCTCGACTGGATCGCGTTCTCAAATGATACGAAACAGGAGTCGCCAATAGTAGCGGAATCATGTACCCATCATCCCCATGTTGCAAACGAGGGACCGCCGCGAAGCCATAACTAACATCATCAAACATTGAAAACGTTCGTGTAAGTCCATGCTAATGGAGCACTCATGCCATAGAAAGTGCTCCATTTGTGACTAAAATCCGCGCTGTTTCAAATGTCTGAATAACCACAACTCTCAATAATGGGTGTTCAGTTCTATGAGAGCTCAGCAGTCTGTCCGGTCTCTACCAAATGCGAAAAACCGTTGAAAAGACCTTCTATGCCGCGAACGACCTCCCTTATTGAAAACGACACTGCATTTCTCCAACAAAACGCGCAATAGTAAAGCTCAGCTGAGGTTTAAAACGCTACTATCATCACCTTTTCCGTCGTCGTAATGTGAGAGTATTCTCTCGCTATTCAAAGACTCCATACAAGGCAATTAGCATAAAACTGTGAGAATTCAGTCCATCGAGAAAACAGCCTTCGAAATACCAACACTTACGTGGTTCAAAAAACGACTCCTTTTGGTGGCGAATCCAATCTGCATAACACCGGGAGTGAATACAGTAGCCTCATAGAACCACACGCCATCTTGCACGGCGAATGTACATCTAACTGACTCAAACGAAGATACGTCGCAACGAGCCTGTAAAAAAGCATATTTTAGCAATGGAAATTCTAACCAAATAAAAGGGACAAATGTTCAAATAATGCAATGGTGAGTATTTGAAAAAAATAAAAAGTAACGACTAGAGAGTAGTAACGGCAAATAAAGGGGGATGAGATTTCAATTATTGACCTCCAATCCATCTGGTCCTATCTTCAGGTATTCACTGACGTCTTCGTGGTGAGCATAGCATTTATTTTCGACACATCAGTAGTTTCATATGCATAAGTTCGGTTAGGAGTTATAACTGAAACAACGAGTGAAACCTCAAAATACATTACCAATTCTATTCCACATAAAAGTTAAGTAATAAAAATAGAATGAGTGCATGGTAGCAGCGGTTGAGCATTGCTATCGATCAACAGATGAAAATAAATCGACCTATGAGATATTCAATTTATGCCGTGCTAATACGTTGGAGAGTTCGACAGTAAGCGATTTGAAAAAAAAAACTTAAGCAACTAAAAGTGCAGTCATCGATTGGGAGGTCTGCAGAGCGCAGAATGGGAGAAGTGCGCGAATCGCGAAATCGGTATCCAACCCACTTCCCAGCTAGTCCTTCGGCTCACATTCTGTAGACTGGCGCATTCTGCGCGTTATTGATTTCCTTGGTTGAAACTTCCCAGCCAGGGCCACGAGGAAACTTTTTGGAGAGTGCGTCTCCTCTCAAAATTTCCTCCTCTGGTACGATCCCCGATCCCCTACCTCCCATCTTACCTACCAGATCCCAACTTTTCCCACGTTCCTACCACTTTTTCCCGCTTTTTTCGGTCTTTCTTCCCTCCTAAAATAACTGGTATCGAGGAGATGCGAGGGGAGGGGTGTGCGGTTTGGAGGGAGGGAAGACAATACACACCACTGCGGAACTGCGGAACAGGAATAACCGCGAAAAGCCATGAATAGACAAAAGAAAAAAATCTCCCGCATGAAAAAGATTCTTGAGGCCAGATACGACCCCCTCTTCAAGCACGAGCAACTCCCCCTCCCGCCCACCCCAATGGGACTCTTCCAAACGCTTGAAGTAAACGCGCCGTGAGATTAGCGAAACTTCGCGATGAGGAACTGAATCTGCTCGCTCGGAAGGCGAATAGCGTTTGGACTGGAATACTTCTATCTTCTATTCGACTATTTTTTCCGCGCTTTCATAAGAATGGACTTTGAAGGATTCTAGAAATAATGACAAGCCGTAACTCACAGATGTTATCAAGTGCCCATGTCGCACAGAATCCCACTTGTCGTTTCATTGCATTCGTCGTGCAATGTCGCCATTCTTCCAGTTGCTAAATTTCACATAAATCATGAACAACGTGGTACTGCGAAAAAATTCCCTCGTGAAAGAACGGTGTGCTGGACGAAATAAGCTCATTTTGCAAACACATAGCCTTTTCCTACGACGAACTCTTGAGAACCTTACTCAGCAGTTTGTGAGAGGGGTAATAGGAGGCTTTAGAGGAGATAAAGAACCTTGAGTGGATGTGTCGCAGACTCCTCCAGTGTACGCGATATCATGAACTGATTTTCGCTAGTTTGGGCGAATTTTTCTAGTGCCAAAAGAGCGAACAGAACCACCCGTGCTTGGGTAAATGGAGGCAACTAAAAAGGCCATGTCTAGTCCCAAGAATTATTCAGAGAAAATAAACTAACTATTCGGGATATCAAATAATTCAAGGTTGTAGGATTGCACATAGCCACACTGCTGCTACCAGCGAGTTTCTCCGCCAGAGATCCTTATAAGACAAAACAAAATTGCTACGAAGAAACAATCGAGCAAATTCAATCATGTACGATGCCAGGACGGCAACATGTCGAATGTCCTACCAAGTTCATAAGCCAATCCCGCGAAGGCGGCGGCATGATGTTGCGAACATCCAGGGCGCCGTTAGCATATTGAGCTCAAAAGTGCTAATAGACGGAGTGGGTGTATACTCATATTCCTTTGGGATGCTCGGGGGACGAAGTGCGCGTTTCACATCCCCCATCCCCCCTCTGCTGTCCACCCGACGGCCCTAATTGCCCGTTAGATTTGATAATTGAATAAGCTGGGATTTCTCGAAAGAAATAGCCAAAAAAGTAGTAGATAGAAAACGTTAGAATCTGGCGAAAACGGTACGGTAGAATCAAGTGCAGCGAGGAACAGATGGGCGAAATTTGCTCAGCTGAAAAGGTATACCCAGAGCACTACTTCCTACGCGTCTGTGGATCTCTTTTTTTGGCCTGAGAAATTCAGATGTTAAAAAAGAATATGAGTAAGAAAACTACCTAATACTATGCATGTGTTTCGATGCCAACTACGCTTGCGTGTCGACGACGCAGAAGCCGCAAGATCAAGGCGGAGGGAGCATAATAGTCGATGAACAGTGTCCTTAAAAAAAGCGGTTGCAACAGAAGTTTGATTGTCGTAATATTAGTTTTCCAACCTTTGAAGGCAATGGGCACTCGTCGAGAAATAGTGTTATTACAGCCGGACCCAAAGAGTCATCGTCAGGTACCTTAACAATGGAGATTGAAGAAAAATTCAAATTTTCAGATGATACCGAATACCCACGTTTCGATCAAAGATTCCACCACCAGAAGCCAGCCTTTTTCCCGTTCAGCAATCATATTGAGCTTCAATAATGATGCAGGAGGATCTTGCTCGCTGAAGAGTAATACAAAGATAAAATAGACAGAAAATGTAGATTTGACCAGAACAACAAACAAACCATTAACCAAGACTGACACGGTTTGAAAGCTTCGAATGTATGGCACAGAAGTATGATTTTTCAAAGCCCAAACAAACTTAGCATGACAACTTGTATAGGTTTAGGATAAACTAGCAAAAGGTGACTAGAAAAGAAGCAAAGCAGCAAGCATCCGCAATGTAGTTTTTTTTTGTGAGCTGGATTCCTTTGTTGAAACTATGACAATTAGCACTGCTGAGACATTGGAGCGATACCAAAAATTTTCTGGAGCATATCAGTAATTGAGCTAGTGGAAGGTTAACATTTTCTTACCTCCCCAGGATAGCTCAAGGACAAACTGTACATCCACCTCCGTGAATCTTGGTCTTATGGGGTCTTATGGGTACACAGCTGCATTGAAATGGCACTTTCTCTGCTGAGAAATGTTTGGAAAAGAGGATGGATGGTAATGACACCCGGATGCCATTTCCAACTCCGTCCACACTTCCTCACGCTTAACCAAGCGCCTAGCCATACCCAAAAACATATGTATGCTCTTTCTCTCTTGAATGTTCTCCACCGCAAGTGCGTGTTTCACTGCGGGATTTGCCGGGACCTTAGCCGTGGGATAAGGTGGCGGGACAAGGGTAAGGTACACGGGTATCACTACTGTCTAGCGCCGCTCAAGTGCACTTTTAAACGGAGAAAGTGGCATTTTCAAAGCAGCTGCGGCACACATTCACCCCGCACATGGCAAGAACCTCCTCCAGTTTTGCGCGAACTTTTAATTTGCTTTCAGAACAGCAGGGAGTGTCTAGAGAACGACTGAGGTTTTACATGAAGTCTAAACATGTGGTGATCACACAGTCCCGTTTTCTTGCTTTTGAAAAGTCAACATTACATGAACGACCTATGATGTGATACTGGAAACACAATCGAAAATTCAAGTGACTGACTGGGTTCGGATCGAAATCGTAGCTCGCCGTGAACGGGAATTTCGGAACTGTTTATTTCGCGTTTTGTAAACATGAGCTAGATTGACAATTCCCAAACAGTGACAAAAATAGTCCCAAATAAAAGAAAATGATTGCGACAAAGTAATGCTAGACACAAGAAGAAGCCGCAAATTGAAAATTTCATCGAAACCCCTCAAAAGCTGACCACGCGGACAAAATGAATAAATCTCTCAGTGCATTTATTTGAAACGTATTTTCACCTACAAGAAAAACCCACCAATATGGCCGAGAAAGGCACCAAGGGCAGACTTCACGCATCTATTACTAAAGATGGAATGCATAACTTCTAATGTCATCAAGTTATTCCCCAAACAACCCTAGATCTCCGTATGGCCCTAGTAGGTCGCATTGATGTTCCGACGCTTTTCGAAACGTTTTTTTTTTGCATTTTGTAGAGGCCTGCACATAGACAGAGCCAAAAATGAAGAATTCTGTAAAATACTCCCTCTTGAACCTCTATGCGCTGTAAATCACTTGCCGAGTGGTAGGTGGTTTTTAAAGGACAAAAGAGGTGTCGCTGAAAAATGGTCGAGGTAGTGAGCTTATTTGTGTCACGTGCTTCAGAGCGAGCAGTGGTTTGGCGCAGTTCAAAATGCCCCCGTCCCCCTCGCCAAACAGCGCCCAGTGGTTTCTTCAACACTCGAAGCTGGCGAGCCTAAGCCCTGAATATCTGAAGGCCTAGTGGTTAGCGTGCTGGATTCCCAACAGCACATAGAGGGTATTTCTGATTCAATCCCCGTAACGGCAATTTTTGTAATCTTCAATCTCTACCTTCCTTCCGTTCCTGCATGGCCGTTATTCAACTACCAGCACTTCAATATAGCTTAGGGAAAAAAGTGCTGGAAGTTGATATGTAGAGATTAATCGGTATCCTGACCACGAGTATGGCCCTCACTTATGGTTTCGGGGCCAATTATCGCCAACTTCGAACCACCCTTTCTCGCACCCAAACGTTATCTATTCTACATAGACGTTCAGCGCTATTCTGGCGCCAAATTGTATCGGATCCCAATATATGTGTTAAGATCGGAACATCGATTACCAGAGACTGCTCGGCAAAAGAACCCAACTTCTCTGGTTTGTATATAAGTCCCCACAAAATCCAAAAAAGCGCTTTGAAGAAGGGTGAGGGGACACGCCATGAACGACCTCCCTTCTGGGATTCGTCACCAGCTTCAACTTGTAGATGTCTCGAAGCAATTTTCTTACTCTTTCTGCACGCAGACTTCTTCAATTACACACCTTTATTTCCCAGTCTCCAAATGCACTAAAGTTCGTCACCTTAAGTGCTTACTTCAATTCCTGTTCATAGCACGCGACCGCTATCGATAACACACGCCACTATCTTCAAAACTCGTAAACAGCTGATGTTTACCAGTCATGTGCTCGCGTTGCTGATTGTAAAAATCTATGGTCAATACTGTGCTGCTGGCGGACGTAGATCAAAAGCTCCCACGAAAAGCTTTTCTTTTCGGTTCCAATGATCATCGGAATTCACGGAAGCCGCGTTGCAAATATAAACAGATCGTTGAGTTGAAAAAATATATCGAATTGAAAAAAAAAGAAAAAAGGCAGTAAAAACAAAATTGAGTACAGCACTCACTTATTCACGAGTGATCGTATTACTTTGAGAGTCTGCCTGATTAAATCTTTCACATCATTCCCGACGTAGTTTGTCATGGACATCCGTCGACCAAGCTGGGAAGATCCTTCTGGAAGAAAACTATTTAAGAACTGTGAAAAGAGCGTTCCAATGTGGAAGTAATTTTATTGAAAATGAACTTCTAAGTGTAGTTGGTGCATGTAAAACACAAGAAGCAAATGCAAGTGTTCTGAAGGAACTTTTCAGCGGCACGCCTCAAGCTGTGTTTGCAACCGAAACAAACAGCACGTAGGCAGCTGCATTGGCGGTAACTGGTTCCACCTTGGGCTGAACTCGCTTTACTGCTTCAGGCAACAAAAATCTGCCAACAGTGACAAGGATATCGTCCATGAGCGACGTTCTTTTATCTTGGTATGATGGATGAGTACGCAGTTTAGATATAGCCTTCCAAGATAAGGGGCCAAACAATCGTGAAGACAATTCCGTTGGTTTAACAAACCACTATAGGTATGGCCAGGAGAGCCATCAAGGTTATCTAGATCGCCGTACCACCACCCAATGGTAGGACTAATGCGTTGATTGGGCTCAGTTGCCTCAATCGAGAAAAGGTGCGTGGTAACGAGTTATGGCAGAGCATTTAATTTCACTATTGAGTTCACGGTCTGAATGGAACCGACGCGGTGATATAAGTAATAGACTCATATTTCGCAGGCTCAGATATAGCAATTTTTCGAGAAAACTAACTAATATTCCACGAGATTCCTCCACTTTCCCGGCCGATATGTCGAAAAGTCAAAGCAGACTACACCTCCAACACAGCATGATATGCCCACATGAATTACCCTTGGCCCATGACACATGGTTTTGAAGGACGAATGAACACCAGAACCAGTTTTGTGAGACACCTGCCTGTCTGCCTTGGCATTGAAATTGAGGCACCGCTAGGCCGATTATAAGCAGAATACGAACAAAGAAAAGCATAATTAAGAAGAAGAGCATAACATTCACGGGCAAGTATTTTTTTCGCAGAAATATGTAACCTTCAATAAACATATTGGCGTGTTTGTATGTCTCTGGCTTCATAGGAAATTGCGAATCGCTTAACTCTACTCACATGTTCTTTGATATGTCTACAGAATAAATAAAATAATGCTTCTCGTTCAGTCGAAATAAAGGGGTTATCTTATTAGGGAAACTCATTTCCCACCTATTGTTAGAAATTTCTGGTGTTTTGAGGGTGCGCCGACGTTTTTAGCGACTGTGCCCGCCAAAAGCTCATAACTACTCGCGAAAAGGCTCAGAACAGACCGATACTTATACTTCTCTCGGCTCAAAATGTGAC